AGCGGTTCAAAGCGTTTTGGACTGCCTGTGTGTTGTCACAAAACAAGGCGATGTTATCGGCATTTTCCAAATCAAGGACTCTGTTCCTTGGGAAGAGTTTGACTCCACTGTTCGCTAGACCGGACAAAGCATTCTGTAGAACATCCTCTGTGGCGAAGTTGCCCCAGGGCAATATTGTCGAACTCCACTCGAGACGGCGAAGGGTGGCGAAAGCTGGTCATAGACCCTTTACCCGACCTGAGGTATGACGATACAACTCTTTGAGGATCGATACTTCTCAGGTACTCTATTCCGCAACAAACAGTTCTATAATGCAGTCCTATCGACAGAGTCGAAGGCCCCGCGGATGTCTAATAATACAATGAACGTTGGTCTTTGACAGACATGAAGGCGCTCTAGCAACTGCTGGAGCGTGAAAATTAGATAGATGCATGCACGACCGGCGCGAAACCCAATACGCTCCTCGCGAGGATGTTCCTCGCGCGCCTTGTACAATTTACGACGAGTGATGGACACCAACAGCTCCAACGCTATTGAGATCAGGCTTATATCTCTATGACTGACGAAGTCGTTGAGCGGACCTTTTCTAAAGGCGGAGACGACAATCGATCCCCCCCCCCCACGAGGAGGGGACCTCCTCAGTGTTCCAAACTTTAAAGAACAGAACCTGTAGTTCTGTAACAAGATTGATTCCACCTTCTTTAAATAGAGCTGGAGGAAGGCCATCGGAGCTCGGCGCATTGTAACGGCCCAAGGTTTGGATTCCTTTTCGTATGTGTTGAGTAACATTACCGACGCAACAATCGAGGTTCCCTTGACGATGTCAAAATCCGTGAAAAAACCGCTCGGCAAGTGAACAGTAAAAGTAACAAACAAACCATTACACAAAGTATCGATAGAATGGGTTATCAAGAGAAAATAATTAATCCCGTTAATGCGGGAGTCACAAACAGGTAAAATAGGTGAAATCGATAACATGCAACAAAACTTCAACTCTTATTGTAGCATGGAGTGTACGAACCAGTACGGGAACTAGTAACTGGTGTCATATTTATCGTAAACCTCTCAGTGGAAACTACGAGCCGTGTGCAACCGAGATGCTATCAGTACCGCCTGCGAAAGCCTCACTATGGTCGGGGGTGGGTGTCTAAGGTTGCGGCTGGTCACCATTTCCTTGCACCTCACGAAGAACGACAGATATATCAAACACTGGATCACAAATACATCTGTGAGCTGATGGACTTATGCCTACAAACATACTTCGAATTCGACGGTGGATTCTACGAACAGGTGAAAGGAACAC